ATAAAGGCCCAGAGATGCTGCCAAACCTCTACAAGGACAGGAGAGTCTCCTGCCTCTGTAATAAAGAATTATCCTGCCCCAAATGTCACTAGTGCTGATGTTGACAATTCTTGCCTTAGGGACAGAGAAGGGATCTTAGATTTCTTTGAGCCATAGATCATCTGTAACTATCTCCTAGTTGATCTTAAAACAAGAGCCAGGCTTCAAGTACTTAGGAAAGGAGAATTTCAATCAGTCACTCTCTCAGAGAAGCCTGAAGACTGTCGCTGGGGTCAGCAGACACCAAGTCAATGCCTGGTCTCCGCTCTTCTGGGCTGCACCTGTGCTCCGGCCCCAGCGTGGTGTGGCAGTGCTTTCCACAGGAGCCCACCCTCCCCAGGCACAATCCTCCCCAGTCTCTGTCTAAACTGTTTGGATTTGGTTCTCAGTTCCAATTTGGCTCTTCTCTTTTCAAATGAAAGCATACCACACTGTACAATACAGTACTGTTACACACTAAATTGGCCCCAGACAGGCACAAACACCAACTTCAGGGCGCTTTGAGACAACCTAGAGTAGGGACCTCTGCTCCTGTTCTGTAGATGAGGAAAGGAGGCTCAGGCAGTGAGGGTTTCTTAAAGTGACACAGCCAAGGGGAGGAAGGACGGCTCCAAAGCTGGGCTTCCACCTCCAAGGCTAGAGCTCTTTCCACTCCACTGAGTCCGCAAGAAAGCCCAGGAGAGCCTGGTCCATCATTTGCTACTCATGCGGCAGGGAGATCAGCCCAGACAGCTGGAGGAAAGCACCTGTGAGGCAGCTGGGTCTTGCTGACACACATAGAGTAAAATGTGGGTCATCCCCTAGGGGCAGCTGCAACTTAAGAGGATGCTCAGAGCCTGGGGGTCCCCTAGGGTCTGCTTCGGGGAGATGGGCAGCCTGCGGGGAGTCTGAGGCTGGTGATGACCTCCCTAAGCACAGAACGTCTCCTCAAAGGGAAGCAAGCAAAGAGCCGGCAGAAGGCTCAGGGGTCCTGAGCTGCTTCTCTCCTGCATGAAACACTGACTGGGAATGAAGCTAGGAAGAGTTTACAGCTTCAGGACTTTGATTCTAGAGGGAGAGACACTCAATAATCTAAAAAAAGAATACAGATTATGTCCAGTGCCAGAAGAGAAACAGAGCGTTCCAAGAAGAAGATACCAGGTTAGGGAAGGGTGAGAAGAGAGGAGGGCCCTATGTTGACAAAGGAGAAGGGAGAAGCTCTGGGAGGAAATGACACTGAAGCTGGAACCTGAATGCAGAGAATCAACCAGCAGTGCAGAGGACTGGGTGGGCTTGGGGTATGGCGGGAAGGTCCCCGGCCTGCCCCTAGGGAAGGAAAGCCAAGGTCAAGGTTGGAACACAAGCAAGGCCATAATTACATCTTGGAGCAGTGAGAAACCAGGCCTGGAAAGTTTTCTGCCACAGAGACACTTGTGGTTTGAAATCTGATTTGGCTACAGGGAGAGAAAGGATGTAGAGAAATCCAGGCTGGAGGAAAGTCCCTGGGCACAAGAACATGGTAGTGAGAGTGGAGACCCGTGGAGCCTGTGGACCGGCCAATGACCGCTGCTCTGTGCGTTGACGCATTGAAGGGGGAGGCTGATGGTCATAACTCTGAATTAAGGCAATTACTAAGAGATAATATTTATGGAGCCAGGGAAACCTAGAGGAGAAACTGACTTGGGGGCAGGGGGCGGGGTGCAGAGGGTCTGATATTTCAATTCTCCACCCTAACTTCAGCCTTAAAATATCCTTAGGCTCCCCGTTATTATTTATCAACCTACTACAATTTCAAAGCATTGCTTCTAAGACTCTTTTAAAGGAATCAGGAGGAAATGGGGGTGGGTGGGGAAAATGTGGAACATGGTAGGCATAACTTGACTGCATTTGAGGTCTTTTGAAAAAGACAGTATATAAATATAAAAGTGCTAATTATGGGAGGGGTTTGTACTTTCCACTTTCTACTTTGCTTATCACTTTCATAATATAATTCTCTTAAAAAAAAGAAAAAAGAAGCAGCAGCAGAAGTAAAAGAAGTACTGCTTTGGGGTCAGGCTTGGTATATCCCAAGAATCCTGCTGATCGGAGGGCTTTCCGACCCGAAGCCACAGCATGTGAGGACACCAGAAGGAAGCAGCGTTGGGAGGGGAAAAGACACAAGCCAAGTCAGCCACGCAGACGGCCTATACAAGGGGCTGGGGCGCTCTTCAGACAGCTTTCATGTGTGTCCCACACACACATTCAGCTTCCAATCTGCCTTTTCCGCTGGCTTCCCTGGTTTCTGTTTGTTGTTTGTGTGTTTGTTTTTTCATTGGTCACAGTGCTTGAACTCAGGGCCCAGGCACTGTCCCTGGCTGCTTTTTGCTCAAGGCTAGTACTCTAGCACTTGGAGCCACAGCGCCACTTCCTGTTTTCTGGCAGTTAACTGGAGATAAGAGTCTCGTGGACTTTCCTTCCCTGGGCTGGCTTTGAACCACGATCCTCAGATCTCAGCCTCCTGAGTAGTTAGGATTACAAGTGTGAGTCACTAGTGCTCATCTTAGTTTCCATTTCTCTGACCCAGTACTCTTCCTGTGGAGGCATGGTACTGTCAGAGAGGAAGGGTTAGCTCTTATGTCGCTCTCAGCTGCCTCTCACGTTATTTCACCCATTAAGATGAACTCAGCCATCAATCACCTCCTCCAGAAAGCCTTCCCTAATCACCCTAGGCCCTTAGTAGCTCCTTTGTGGAGGCATGAGTTACACTATATTCCCACTATATTGTGCTATGTTCTACATGAAAACATATTCATTTCTTCCATTAGACTGGGGACCTAGAATGGACACCTGTTGGGGTTTTGTTTTGTTTTGTTTTGCTACACAATGCCTTTTGACATTGCAGGATTTCCCATCTCAGGAGCCACACAACTTTCAAAGCGGAAGCCAGGAACTTTCTTTCCCAGTTTATGTTTCTGAGAGGGTACATCATGTGACCTGGGCCCTGCCAATAAAAAGAAGTATGAAAAAACTGCGGTCTTTTGGAAGTGGTAATGGTGGCTTTAGATACCCAACTTGCAAAGGCAACAAGAACAGAGGATCTCTGCTCGGGGTAAATATGATTTGCTCTCAAGACACCTGGGTTGCGGTTTAATTTCTTGATGCACCAGCATTGGGAAGTGGGGTATGAGGGTAAGTAAGGTGTTTGGTTCCTGGGGTCATTGTCCTCATGCATAGAATCATGCATACCATCATGCAGGACTTAGTGTGTGCCTCCTCTTACATGACTGGATTAGTCACCGAATGAGTGGGTTGTTCTAAAGTGAGTTCTAAAGCTTCCTTAGCTTTCTGTTGTTTCTTCTCTTGTCACGTGAGTTCTCTTTCCTGGGCACTCTGTTCTCTAGGTCCCGTGTTGAAGCAGCATGAAGCCCTCACCAGAAGCAAGCACGTGCCAGAGTCATGTATACTATTGGACCTCCAGAATCATGAACACAAATGAGCTTTACTCATCAATTTCCCAATCTCAGCTGGTCTATTATAGCAATAGAAAAAGGGCTAAGCCATCTGAAGGTAGTTTCTTGTGCTAAGCATTAGCACAAGTAATTAAGGTAATGGCAAGGACATTAATTAAGCATTGCTGCTCATGCACCAATGGGAGCAAGAGGTTTTCCATTGGAACAGAGCACTGCTCATTGGCTCTTAGTCAGCTCTCCATAACTGTAACAAAATGCCTGGTATTAAACCAACTTTATGTATGTATGTATGTATGTGTGTGTGTGTGTGTGTGTGTGTTGTGTGTGTGTGTATGGTTGTGTGTGTGTGTGTGTGTGAGGCGGGGAGGGTGTGTGTGTGTGTGTGTGTGTGTGTGTGTGTGTGTGTGTGTGTGTGTGTGTGTGTGTGTGTATTTGGGTCACCATTTCAGAGGTTCCAGCCCATGGCCAGTGGTAGAATACCCAGTTCATCACATGGTTGCCAGGAAGCAAAATAGAAAGAGGTCACACCCCTAATGACCTCACTAAAGCCCAATTCCTAAAGATTCCACCATCATCCAATCACACCACAGGCTGGAAGCCTTTGGGAGACATTCAAGGCACAAGCTATAGCAGCCATTTTGCTTCCAAAGCAGCTGCTTGAACAAAGTATTGTTTTGCTTAAACCAGCAATCTATCATTGAGCTACATCTTCTGTCTAACTTAAAAATTACCAGTGCACGCTGATGCGGGTGGCTCACGCCTATAATCCTAGCTACTCAGGAGGCTGATAGCTGAGGATCGTGGTTCAAAACCAGCAGGTCAGCAAAGTCGGTGAGACTCTTATCTCCAATTGATTAATCACCAGAAAACCTGCTGTGGTTCAAAGTAGTAGAGCGAAGAAGCGAAGAAGCTCAGGTTCAGTGCCCAGGCCCTGAGTTCAGTCTCATGACTGACAAAAAATAATAATAATTACCAATGCAAGGTGGGCACTTGTGTCCTGTAATCCTAGCTACTTGGGAGGAGGCTGAGATCTCAGAAGAGTGGTTTGAAGCCAGTCCAAGTAGGAAAGTCCGTGAGATTCGTATCTCCAATTAACCACTGAAAAAGCCAGAAGTGGAACTGTGGCTCTAGCGGTAGAGAACTTAGCCTTGGGCAAAAAATAAGCTCAAGGACAGTACCCAGGTCCTGAGTTCAAGCCCCAGGACTAGCAAAAAAAAAACCCAGTAAAACAAAACACCAAAACAGTGCAGAAAAATGCTGGAGGTATGGTTCCTTGGTAGAGCAGCTGCCTAACATATCCCCACACACCAATCTCTATTATCTATCAATCTATTTATCTATCTATCCCCTCTCCCTTCTCTCTCCCTCCATCTATCTCTATCTATCTGACTTGTCTCCTAAATCTCATGGCTAATCAGCAAAGACTCAGAGAGACTTTACTTCCCACATGGCTCTCAAGCTGTGTTCCTTTAGAATACTGCAAATATTGAATACTGGTGAGCTTCCTTACATACATGGAGAGAGTTTATTTCATACAAGGAATTTTGTCCATTTCAAGTTTTTACTTAAAAACTTTTCAAAACAGTGGCACCTGCTACTGAGTAGTCAGCAGGTGCTTTGGATGAAAAAAACAAATATGCAAGTAAGCAGATTCTGTAGCAAAAACTCAAAGCCACTAGTCTGCATAGGTCAACAGTTTTCCTCTTCCGTGTCTGTTTTGCTTGCTGGAACTGTAGATTGCACACTTAACACACCATCACATCTTCTGCTAGTGAAGTTCTTCCTAGTTCACATAAAAGAATCCAATGATTCAACATTTTCTGAATGGACACCACAGACTTAGACATTTTTAATATTTTTTGGAGCTGCATTTCCCACCACTGTGTAATTCTTCAGCTATAGATTGAATTGGGACTCTATTTTTCTGTCCCCTCAACCCCCCACCAATTTTTTTTCTTTTTCTAAGCCCTATGTTAAAATTCTTTCCCCTCGCACCTCAATCTGTGGTTGCAATTTGGAGATGGGACCTTAAAATAAGTCTGTTTGGCTGTACTGTAATGAGATTGGTGTCCTTAGAAGAGGGGACATTTAGCAGAGAAAGAGATAACCAGGATGCTGACACCCATACAGTATGTGAAGACCCAGTTAGAAGGTGCCTTCCATCACTCCAGGACAGAGACCTCAGAGGAAAAAACCTGCACATCCCTTGATCTTCGGTGAATCCACACTGTCTGTGGTACTTTGCTATGGTCACCAAAGCAAGCCTCCTCCAGCCTCAACCTGGAGCAGAAACAGGCAGTGGAGCCGAAGCATTCCAAACCTCCTTCCTCAGGCAGGAGTTCTGCCTCCATTTATCCTCTATCTCTGGCTGTGCTCAGAAGCCCATCTTTCTTCTTTGGCTCATTTTTTTTTTTAGCACAGACACTAAGAAGAAGAGTGACCTTTGAATTCTACTAATGTGAACGAGTTCTGCAGAAGAGCTGTCAGCACAGCCAGGGCTTTGGAAGGCCCTGGGGAAGTTAGCAGGAGAGCAAGATGCACACAAGAGGGGGTGGGAGGGACGGAGGCACACTGTCTACCTCAGAAATGTCTCTGGGCCCGTGCTGGCTCCGAGCCCCCTCTACGGACAGCAGCTTCTAGGAGCAAGAGAGCATTTGAAAAGGGACTCTCTGGGTGGTTCCGGCCTTGGGAGGTCTCCTGCTTTACCCTGCCAGGGGTCGCTCCCATGCCGTGCCCCTCCTAGATGCACGCCAGCCGCTGGGGCACAGCTGCTCTGAATTAGCACCCACAGTTTTGCTGTGTCACAGAGGACAAGAGAGATGGGCACCCTCTTCTGATTGGGCGGCTAGGAGAGGTGTGGGGGCCACAGGAGTCAGGGGAGGTGGACAAGGGGCTCTAGAAGGTAGAATGAAGGTTGCAGAGGTGGGGATTGTGGGGAAGGAAGGGAGAAAAGAACACTAAGGAAAGATGGCTTTACTTCTGGCTAGGGCTAGATTGACCTCAGGCCATTTTCTGGTGACAAGGACCATAGAGGAGTAGGGCTGGAGATGATTCTAGGTTGTTAATAGCAACTATCAAGTTATAACAACCATTTTTATGCCTTCTTCTCAGGGTAGACTGCACTCTCCTTGCAAGCAGAGTGGGTGCGTTGGGCACACCTCTGCTGTAGCCAGTATGGAATATTCATTTCACACTAAATATTCACAGAAGACAGACGATGTGCCTAGTACTGGATCTAGAATTGCAAAGGCCACAGGCTGAGCTGGCACTTTACTGTCTCTTGACTAAATGTTTTTGACTGTCTTTTCTTTTTTTTGTACTGGTCCTGAAGTTTGAACTCAAGATCTAGGTGTTTACTGTCCATGAGCTTTTGTGCTCAAAGCTAGCACTTTACTACTTGTGACACAGCTGCACTTCTGGCTTTTGGTGGTTACCTGAAGATAACAGACTCATAGACTTTCCCTGCCCTGGCTGGCTTCTAACTGCAATCCTCAGATCTCAGCCACCTGAGTAGTGGGATTACAGGTATGAGCCACCTGTGCCCAGCTTTTTGTCTTCTTGATTTTCATTTGGAAGGAGCCAGCCTCTCCCAGGGCTAATTAGTTCTTCCAAATCAGTGAGAGGCTATAACCCCACACCTTCTTTATTGAACTTTCCTTTGCCATTTCCATCCCTAATCACCCCAAAGCCAAGCACCAGACATCTAGGCACAGTCCTATACCCCAGAGCCAACTGGAATTATTCACATCAACCACTTCTGTGCCTGCTTTACCCATGCCTTTCTTCAAAAGCCACAATAAAGACATTTTTTTTGCTGTTGTTGTTGGCCATGGGGCTTGAACTTGGGGCCTGGGCACTGTCTCTGAACTTTTCAGCTCAAGGTGAGCACTCTACCACATGAGCCCCAGCACGACTTCCAGGTTTTTTCTGCTTATGTGGTGCTGAGGAATTGAACCCAGGGCCTCATGCATGCAAGGCAAGCGCTCTACCACTGAGCCACCTTCCCAGCCCAATAAAGACATTTAACTACATTCCCTCTTCTACTTCCTGAATAGCCCCATGGCTCTGGGTGGCATGTTCTGCCTTCTGGCTCTAGAAACTGTGAATATAAACAAAAAGTTTGCTTCCTTGACAGGCATTGCTGGGTCTGAGTGTCTTACCATTACCTGATTCATACAGATCACGGGTACATTTTTAAACAGATGGCTCAATGTGAAAAAAGCATTAAGTAACTGTAAATTAACAACGGATTCCTTCCAAGCAGTACAAAGTACATCTTCTTCTTCTTCTTCAAGAGAAGGGAGGTGTTAGTGCTATTTGTCATTATGTTCAAATGCAATGAAAGTGAGAGAGAAGATGGGCCAAATTCCTAAGCAGGCAGTCTTCAGTGCAACGTGGGATTGTAGGTTTGGAACAGGGACAGGCCTTTCCTGTGTGCCCAGCAAAGCCTGCGCAGGCTGACAGCACCCAGAACAGGGCGATCCAGTCAAAGCTTCCTGCATCAAAGCCAAGCACCTTCCTTTTCAGGAACAACTTTATTAAAGCTATACAAGCAACAAAACAAAGAGACCAAGGAGACGTCTTTTATGATGTTCCTTTCCTAACAGTGGCATCAGACGCGCTCATGAACCCAGAAGGCTGCAATGAGATTGTGGGTGACTAAACCAAGTGGATTGTTGTGTGTTGTTGTGTACACATGTATTGGATGTTGCTATTATGCCTGGAGACTAGTAGGGAGGCTTGCAATGTGGCTTTTCTAGTCAACGGTTTTAGGTGGCTAATTATCAATAAGTCAATAAGATGACTGGGCTATGTATAATTTCATCTTCCTTTGAGGATTCAGAATACACTTTAAGACGTCACCCAGCATCTGGTATGTTATCAATAACATCGATTGTCTCTTTATCTTAATAATCATAAAATATATCTTTAATGCTATCTGGTTCCTAAATGTACACAGGTGACTCCCTGAGGATGTTGGGCAACCCAGAGAATTATGGACCAGGAAGAAGCGTGATAAATCCATGGAGCCTAATAGATGTCATCAGTATGCATGCTTACCTCTGGGCAAGATCTGTTCTAATCTTGAAGTAATACTATCAGATCTTTCTCCACTAGGCACCTGAGGGCAATACAAGAAAACAGGTGGCTAAGAGCCCTGTTTCGAACTGCATATTGACCACTCCTCACACCCATAGATCTACCTAGTTTCCATAGAATCAGATGTTTTAGTTATTAGAAATAAAGAATCAAGCCATGTGATGTCCATTTTGTCACATTTCTCTCTTTAGATTTTATATGCTCACAAAGGACAAGCCTAAAATCAGCAGTACACTGCTCAAAAGAATTCTGCAGGATCCATTTCCACAGTTTTGAGTGTGGGGGGAAAACCATATGATAAATGAGGCAAAAAAAGAGGGACAAAGTCTTTCATGGGGAGGTGTGAGGTTGAAAAATAGGGACACAGAAGCACCTGCTCCCATCTCAGAAGACTTCCAAAGTTTCACAATATTTCCCTCTCAGGTACCTTTAAACATCCTCCATGCAACAATGCAAAGCATTGAAGGAAGCATCTCAGGCTGGCAATTCAAACAATAGGCACCAAGAGAGCCTGGGCATACATGAACCCATCAGTAGACATCCTGAATCACAATGTCCACTGAGTCAGAGGATGTAGTCTAGGCTTCAATTATCTAGCAGCCTAAATGAGAATAATTAGCACGTAGATGAAAAGGTAATGAATAGCATTTGGGAGTATCTAAAGGAAGAAATCTACTGGATCTAAAGGTGTAGGAATTTGGAAGTCTGGGGTACCCCAGCAAAGTCTGGGGAAGGCTTTTGAAGAGATTAAGCTTTGAAGGCCTGGAGAGACTTTAGACATGCACTGAGAAGAGAATGTGCAGCCCATGGAAAGCACGTACACTTTTGGAGGCCAATGGATATACCTGACTTCCTCCCAGAAAGAACACAGTATGACTAGACAGAAACATAAGAGATCTGAACGGCCATAGTGATGCCACTCCTCAATTCTCAAGGGGGAATATGATCAATACACTATGGCACGGAGGCTCAACGTGGTCTCAGAATCCTTCTCAACACTGGACCTCAGGCTATTCATTGTTCATGTTCATGACAGAAATTACCTTACTCTTCTTGAGAGAGTATGGAGTAAGCCTCAGATGGGCGGGGAAATCTGGGCATGACTGTCTATCTTGCTTCCTGGGTATAAGGACCAAAGAAAGCTCACATGGCTATCTTTTATTCTAGTGAGTGAGATAATATTTTTCTTCTGGAGGCACTCAAGCTGATGCCCTTGTACCTGGCAGAGGTACAATGGCATCATTGCTCTTCATTACATGCAATTTGATGCAAGGCTTCAAATCTTTTCCCATTCTTCCAGAAGGCCCCGGTAGTAGCTTATCTGAAAGACGGCTGTTTTCAATGCCTTCCCTTCCTGGGCATACGTGCCACTTCCTAGTGAGACACAAAGAGAAAGCCCAGAATCTGTGACTGCTTTGTCAGTGGGATTTGGCAGAAGTGACCGTGTGCTAGTGTTGGCCTGCACCTTTAATAGGCTTAGCAATCTTGCTTCTTTTTTTTCTTCCTTGGGAGCCTTGAGCTGAGTTGCAAGAGTCTGGTGACTTGGCTAAAGGAAGCACATGGAGAGACAAAATGGCAAGGAAGAGGCCACATGACCACAGGAGAAAGACAGAGAGAGGCTCAGCTGCTTCAATACCCCAACTGAAAGCAGCCTTCTTGTTCTTCCCAGCTGAGATGTAAGAGCTAAGTCTTCCCAGACCTCTAGAGCAGCCCACCACAAGCTGAATCCCACCAAGGGAACCAAACGAATGCCACATCAAGCAGTAAACAGTGTAGCCAAATCCTGCCCAAATTCTTGGTTTCAAAGGATCATAAGCCTTAAAATGACTATTCTCTCAACCCAAAGTTGGAAATAAATTGTACAGCAGCAAAAGATAACCAGGATCTTCTGTTCCCAGGCCCTACCCATCCTATGGGCAGATCTACTCTGGGTTTCATTCTGATCCCTGCAAGTCCCCTGGGCCTTACCATGTGCAGGACAAGTCAAGGACCTGAATTCTGGGAGCAGATACCACACTTCTGGTCACCCGCAGCCTTAACCTCAGCTCACTCACTGCCAACTCTTCTCCTGTAGGATGACATGTACAATTTGTTAGGAACCCAAGTTAATTACTGACTTCAAGGCTCAAAGGTTCCAAGGGTTGTGTGCTTGTTATTCTATTTTTAAGGGACACAAAGGGCAAACGCCTCCTCCTTCTGAGGCTGAGAACAGCCACCAACCAGGATATCAACTGCCAAGTGCATTGGGCCAGTCCTCGGGAAAAAGCCCCAAAAGCTCCTATAGGTGTTCTTGCCCTGCTTTAGCCAGGAGAAAGGAAAATTAGGATCACTTGCTGTGATTCTCAAGCTCACAGGGTCCAACTGGCTCCTTCTGCTTCTGAAGACACTGAGGCAGGGGACATGAGATGTGTCCAATTCAGGGTCAGAGAAGATGGTGAGGATGGTGCCAAACCCAGTCCCTGAGTCACAGGTAGGATGATCCGCTTCTTCCCTTCACCGCCTTGTGTGGACAGACATGGAGGTAAGGGAAGGAGGCTACGAATCTATGGGCAGATGCTTCCTCTGCACACTCTCTAGCTGTGAATGCTTTCAGGTTGCTTCAGATGAAGGCATCCAGGCATAGTCAAGCACAAGCCTGCTGCTACGCAGAGTCTTGCTATGGTTTCAATGTGGATTCATTGAAAGGCTCAGAGTCAGGGTAGTCATATTGAGAAAGTGCTTTTAATATACAGAACCTTCTAGGAGGTCCTTAGGTGTCTGGGGCATAACTTCAAAGGGGTCAGAGACTGCAGCCTCTCAGTTTCTCTTTGTGTCACGGCTTGAGCTGTGATTGTTTGCTCTGATGTGTCCTGCCATTGCTGTCCGGTGCTCTCACTAGAGGCCCAAACCAATGGTGCTACTTCCTCTTGGGCTTGAGTCTCCAAAACGGTGACCTAAATGATTTCCTTATATTAAGTTAGTTGCCTCAGGCATTTTGTAGTAGTAACATGAAGCTGGCAAATACAGGTCTCTATGCAAGAGCTCAATTAAAAAACTCATTGACACAAGCAAGAAAAAGCCTTTGGCGTTAAAAAATTCTTTGTACACTCAAGCATGCTCTTGCGTATGCATGCACACGCACACACACACACACACACACAGAGTAATTCAGGGTATAGTACATTTTCTGGCTTAGTGGTGTGCATGTGTTTCTTCTGCCCTTTAATTAGGGTAAATGTCATGTTCTAATGCAATGCCCCAAGGGATGAGCGTTGCTGGTTTTGTTTTTAGCAAACAGCGCAGCCCAGATCCCTTCGCCCACATCCATTCACAGATGAACATCCTGCATGTGGACATGTCCGAGGCTGCTCAGGTCCCAAGTTGAATACTAAGCTTTGGCAGAATCCCAGGAAGACTCCACAGCAGACAAGAGCTCCTCAAACAGCAGTTACTTCCTTGAGTCTCTCTGAAAATTGCTGTGACAACTACTCTTTCCTCAGTGCTGGGTGCCATGCTAGGCAAACAGGTGTATCTTCTTAAGTCTCACAATAACCTGATGAGTCCTTAAATCACTATTATTTATGGAGGAGGACACTCAGGCTCAAAGACATTTAGTAAGAGAGTTGAAAGAAGACCAAAACCAAGGGCTTTCTTGGTCAAAGGAAAATGAGATTAGGCCTGAATGACAAGTGGCCTCCAACTGACCTTGGCCTGATACTGCTTCAAGTCCAGACACAGACCCGGAGTACCACACTACTCTAGCAGACTCCACACAGGACGTCGACTTGGTGATCGTTAGCACCATGAACTGACCAGTGCTCATGCTGTGTACAGCAGCTCAGTTTTATAAATAATGATTTTTCCCGAGACAGTATTTCCTCTTATTATAAAACAGAGGCATCAATTTCGCCTCAAAAATAGCTCTAGGGGCTCCAGAAGCTAAAGTCCAGGAGTCTGCCAAAGAAAAACCAATGTCCAGGCTCCTGCCATGTGGCACCTCTGCTAAGGACCTAGCTTCCCTGGGAAATTAACGGTTGGGACCAGATGCCATAAATAAAGGGTTCACAGGGACCATGGCTGTCCCCCATGCCCATCACATGCAGTTTAATTTGTAATTGTGGCTGAGTCCTATTTGTGATCAGGATGTAGAGGGTTAGGCCAGGGATTTAAATTTTTTTTAAAAAAATGTTATAAAAGAGATAGTGGAATAATGCCAGACCAAAATGGAAGAGATGGCACTCAAAAGGTTCAAATGAGATGGGCGTGGTGTCCCTGCCACCCCAGCCTGCATTGTTCAATTCCTCTGGGAATGGTGTCTCCGTTGACCCTGATGGCCGCAACGGAAGAAGTGACACTGCTTGCAAAGATTGCAGGAACAGTAACAGAAATTCAGCATGCTTGAAGTTTCTTCTAAAAACGCACAACTCCATGATGCTTCAGGGTTCTGGGACTAAATTTAACTTTTCCTCTAGTCTCCAGAGGGGTATGAATCTGACTTCTGTCTTTCTATAAAGGATATATTCATTTGCTCATAACGGAATACTACACAGTTTGGGTGGCTTGAATGACACATATATGTTTCTCACAGTTCTGGAGACTGGAAGGCCAAGGCCAAAGTTTCAAGTCCAGGACCAGGCTTTCCTGTGTGCAGGTATCCTTTTCTCTTCTTAGAAGGAATTTATAATCCTTTTGTACAAACTGCACCTCTCTGGCTTCATTTAACCTAAATTATCTCCTTATAAGCACAATCTCCAGATGCCGACATACTGGGTATTACTGCTTTAACCCATGAATTTGGCAAAAGGAAGAGCCAATATTCAGTCCTTTATAGGGGGTCTCGGTTGGGAAGGAAATGACAGGATTGTTTTGTCATGAAGTGAATCTGATTTTTGCCCAAGCTCTTTCTCTCTCTCTCATTGCTGCTCATCATGCCCTCTGCCAAAATCTCTACATCCCATACGCAGGTCTTCTTTTTCTACTCAGCAGCTGTCCCTTCAAACCGGGTACCCAGAAGTCCAGCTCCTTGAAGTAGAGCCCCACATAGCTAGGTCAAGTTCTGTCCCATCTGCCACTAAACTTTTTCCATCTATATGGAGTGAGGCTTTTTCTGAACATGTTTCCCTATGTGCTTTGTCTACAAGGGAAGTCAGAATCAAACAACATGTGGCCACTCCCCGTACACTCAGAACCATATGACAAACATCTCTCATATTTGATGGACACCTACTATCTGCAGTCATTAATCTACCTGTATGGGATCTATCAGTGAACAAAACCAGCAAACAATCCTTCTCTCTTCCTCTCCAGATTTCCCCTCTTATTTGTCCATTCTTTAAAAATATTTAAAGTACTGTGTCTATTTCAAATATTTTGTGCTCACAATTACTCTTATTATATTTTATAAATCTGTAATCTTATTGTTATTTTTGTAAGAACCAAATGACTCTGTGTGTGTGTGTGTGTGCGTGTGTGTGTGTGTGTGTGTGTGTATGTGTGTGTGTGTGTGTGTGTATATATACTGGGGTTTGAACTCAGGGCCTTTTAGTCTTTTTTGTGTGTGTTGGTCGTAGGGCTTGAACTCTGGGCCTGGGCGCTGTCCCTCAGCTCTTCAGATCAAGGAGAGAGTTCTATAACTTGAGCCACTGCACCACTTCTGGTTTTCTGGTAGTTAAATGGAGATAAGAGTTTCATGGACTTTCCTGCCTAGGCTGGCTTTGAATCGTGATTCTCAGATCTCAGCCTCCTGAGTAGCTAGGGTTACAGGCGTGAGCCAACGGTGCCTGGCAGGCCTGTCACTCTTACATGGCCTTTTTACTCAAAGCTGGTACTCTATCACTGGAGCCACAGCTCCTTTTCCAGGGTTTTTTGTTGTTGTTGTTGTTTTTGCTTTTTTGGGGTCCAGTCGTGAGGCCTGAACTCTGGGCCTGGGCGCTGACCCTCAGCTCTTCAGCTCAAGGTTAGCGCTCTACCACTTGAGCCACAGCGCCACTTCAGGCTTTTTCTGTTTATGTGGTGCTGAGGAACCCAGGCCCTCATGCATGCAAGGCAAGCACTACCACTGAGCCACCTTCCCAGCCCCTTTTCCAGGTTTTTGTTGGTTGGAGACAAGGGTGTCCTAGATTTTTTTTTTCAGGCTGGTTTTGAATCACAATCCTCAGATCTTATCCTCCTGAATAGTTAGAAATACAGGCGTGAACCACTAGTGTCCAGCTTCAAATTACTTTCTACAATAAATAGAACCACTGTATGGAATAAATTAGGTAAAATATATGAGATACCAAGCACATTGTTGGGCTTCAGTCTAAGCAGTTTTCGACTTTTCTAAATCCTAGATATTCTTTAAAACCAATCCCAAATCCTATCTCTCTCCAGAAGTTTTTAATGGTACCAGAAAATGCAAAGTTCTTCCCTTTCTTTCTGTCTTCCCTTAGTATATATTCATCCAGCACATACTTAGACTCCTTAAAATATCCCATCATGGATTACTCTCTAATTTTTTCTCATGTGCAAATTAGGTTTCCTCGTGGCAGCTAGCTAACTTCTGGAGTGAATGTAGCCTATACTCTGCATTCTTAATCCACATAGTACAATCCAGGTTTACATAAAAGATGAAGTAATATGTAAACATTCTCTCTCCTGTCCTCACTATTTTAGTATAAAATCTGGCCCTTTCTACCAAACAATACATGCTTCCTTTACTGGGTTGAGCAGAGTTTGTCATTTAAGGACATTTAAAGGTAATTTGATTTACATTGCTAGAGCACATCCATCATTTAACAGGGGAGGGGGGAAAAGCAATGACACTTCAAACAAAAGAAACATTTCACATAATTAAAAGTCAAGGCGAAGACTATTACAGCATTTTCTGCAATAGAAAAAAGTCTGCTGTCAAAATACTTAAAGGAAAAAAACACACCAGTTAAATCACTGGTGGTACCTTCATTGGATAGAGCATTGTACTCTCATTTATTTAAAGAAACACATTTTGAAGGCTCCTTAATGAAACAGGAAGATACACACAATGTATTGTCATGTTGGAGAAAAAAAAAGTATATGAAGTATATGAAATATAG